TTGTTGCATGTATTCCTTTATGGGATTATATCATCGTATATATATATATTATTTTTTAAAGATTTTATTTATTTATTTGACAGAGAGATACACAGCGAGAGAGAGAACACAAGCAGGGGGAGTGGGAGAGGGAGAAGCAGGCTTCCCGCTGAGCAGGGAGCCGGAAGCAGGGCTTGATCCCAGGACCCTGGGATCACGACCTGAGCCGAAGGCGGACGCTTAGCGACTGAGCCACCCAGGCACCCTATATCATCATATATTTAGCCCTCTCCTTTTATAGATAATTATGTTGTTTCCAGTTTTTCACTGATCAAAAATGTTGGAGTGTACACATATACCTTTGTTTTCATATGAACCAATGTATATAAATATTCAAGAATGCCTGAGGCTAGATATTTAGAGGTAGATTTTCTGGATTGATGGGTGTATGCATTTAAAATTTTGTTAGATTTTTGCCAGATATTTTCCTTGAATTACCAAGAGCTTACATTCTCAGTAAAAGAATATGAAAATGGGAGCGCCTGGGTGGCTTAGTCGGTTACGCGTCTGCCTTTGTCTCAGGTCATGATCCTGGGGTCCTGGGATCGAGCCCCATTTTGGGTACCCTGCTCGGCGGGGAGTCTGCTTCTCCCTTTCCCTCTGCCCCTCACCCCCGCTTGTGTGCTCTCTCTCTCTCTCTCAAATAAATAAAATCTTGAATATGAAAATGTTCTTTTTCCACAACTGTCCCCAATCTTTAGTCTTTTTTTACATTTTGCCATCCGTTGGATAGATTTCAGATTATTGAAGAACGTCATTATTTTAATTTGGTTATCTGTAGTGTTAACATCTTTTCATATTTTAATTGTTTAATTTCTTCTGTGTATTGTTTATTTCTTTACTCATTTTTCTTTTGCCTTTTACTTCTATGTTACATACTTTACAAACATTATCTTATTATGTTTGTCTTTTAAAAACTTGTTTTTGGGGCGCCTGTGTGGCTCATTTGGTTAAGCGTCTGCCTTCGGCTCAGGTCATGATCCCAGGGTCCTGGGATGGAGCCCCGCATTGGGCTCCCTGCTCAGCGGGAAGCCTGCTTCTCCCTCTCCCACTCCCTCTGCTTGTGTTCCCTCTCTCGCTGTGTATCTCTCTGTCAAATAAGTAAAATCTAAAAATAAAAAATAAAAAACCTGTTTTAAGTGTGATTTATTGAGATATAATTTATATAAAATGAAATCTACACTGAAAGTGTATAGTTTGAAGTTTTCACAAATGTTATACAGGTCAGTAGCCACCACCACAATCAAGATATGTTTTGACATCTGCCAGATACCCTTTGCATTCAGTTGTCTTGCTTCCATACCCCTAGTTCCCGGGAGTCACTGAACTGTTTTCTGTCCCTATATTTTTGCCTTTTCAGAATGTCATATAAATGAAATCATATAGTGTGTAGTGTTTCCTGTCTGGCTTTTTTTCACTTAGCAAAATGCCTTTGAAATCCTCTCATATATCAGCATTTTGTTCCTTTTATTGCCATTATATGGATCTGCTACAATTTCTTTTCATCAGTTGGTGCACATTTGTTTCCAGCTTTTAAATAAAGCTTCTTTAAACATTCATGTACAAGTCTTTGTGTGAGAAATGTTTGCATTTCTCTTGAGTAACCTAGAAGTAGGATTGCTGAATCTTAAGTGTATATTTGATTTTATAAGATCTGTTTTCTACCTTTTAACTTGATCTATGCTATCATTTGTCTTGGCTTTTTAAATATATATATTGTTAAATTTGCCAGATTTTTTTAAGGCTTCTAGATTTTGTGCCTTGCTTCTATGCCATTCCCTATTCTGATTATGCTTTTACTTTTTTTTTAAGATTTTATTTATTTATTTGACAGAGAGATAGAGCCAGAAGGCACAAGTGGGGAGAATGGCAGAGGGCGAGGGAGAAGCAGGCTCCCCGCTGAGCAGGGAGCCCGATGCGGGGCTCAATCCCAGGCCCCTGGGATCATGACCTGAGCCGAAGGTCGTCGCTTAACCATCTGAGCCACCTAGGTGCCCCTAGTCTGTCAGTTTTAATGGTATCTTTGATTTCCTCTTAATACCTATGTAATAGTTGATAATCTTATTTTCTTTCCTTTGTCCCAATTTTTAGTTGTAGCCCTTCTGATTGTTAGATCATATAATGTTTACATTCTTCATCCATGTCCTTACTTTTGATTTGTATCTTAACTCTGCAGTTGAATTATAAAATGTTCACCATCTGTCCTTTTTCTGAGCTCTTCCTAGTCACCTCTTGGTCAGATGAAGCTCATCCTCTAAGGGTTGGTGAACTAGTTTGTGGGTCAGATCTGATTCACTGCCTGTTTTTGTATGGCCTGCAAGCTAAGTTTGTTTTTATATTTCTAGGTGGTTGGGGAAAAGATAAAGTAGTAATTTATGATACATGAAAATTATGTGAAGTTAAAATTCCTATTTCATGAAAATTATATAAAATCAAAATTCTAGTGCCCATAAATCAAGTTTTATTGGAACATAACCTTGCTCGTGTAGGTATTTATTATCTGTGGCTGTTTCTGCACTACAACGGTAGATTTGAGTAATTCAGCAGAGATTATATGACTCGAAAAGCCTAACATATTTACTATCTGTTCCTTTTTTTTTTTTTAAGTAGGACTTGAACTCATGACCCTGAGATCAGGACCTGAGCTGAGATCCAGAGTCAGATGCTTAACTGACTGAGCATCCAGGCACCCCGCTATCTGTTCCTTTATACATAAAGTTTGCTGATCTCTGTTCAAGTAGATTTCTCAGGAAGGGCTCATGTATACAGTATTCCCGATGTTCTGACATGTTCAAAATTGTATTTTTATAGCTTGGTTGGAGATAACATCCTTGATTTGCATTTTCTTTCCTTGAAAACACAGCTCTGCTGTTGTTTTATACGTTGTCATTGAAAAGTCTGATACCAGTCTAATTTTTTTTTTTAATTAGATATAGCGAGAGAGGGATCACAAGCAGGGGGAGTGGGAGAGGGAGAAGCAGGCTTCCCACTGAACAAGGACCCCAATGCGGGGCTCGATCCCAGGACCCTGGGATCATGACCTGAGCTGAAGGCAGACGCTTCACAACTGAGCCACCCAGGCGCCCCACCAGTCTAATTTTCTTACTACCATATTATTTCATCTTTTTGCCAGAAAGCCTCAGGACATTTATCTTTAAAGTCTTAGAATTTTCATAGGATATACTTCAGAGTTGATCATATTAGGTGAGTTTTAGTTACTCATGGGTGTTTTCAGTGTGTAGATTCAGGTCTTCTTTTATTTTAGGAAATTTCCTTAGATTACAGTTGTAAGTATCAACTCTGTTCCATTGTTCAGATTTTCTTCTTGGGTGACTCCAGTTATGCCTATTTTCTGTTGCAACCCCTTTCTCTCTGACCTTGTATTTCTTTAATTATCACATTTTCATTTCTTGAAATGTATCACATTTCATTTCTCCTGCTTTGTTTAATGTTATTTATTAATTTTTCATTTGAGTGTATTGTCTTGGACACCTTGTAATTTAGAATTCATTTCTGATAGGATTTTCTAGTGCTCTTCTGTTTTTTTTTTTTTCCTGAGTTCAGTCAGGTCTCATTTATTCCTTTTTTGTCCACTTCTGTTCTTAGTTTATTTCTAATTAAAGGTGCTTTAATCTGATTAAGGGTTTTCATATCCCCCAAATGCTTGTTTGAGGCTATGTAATTAAGTTTGAAACATTAGATTACAGTTTTCTTCAGCTTTGTGATTGGGTTTTGGCTCTTACTGCATTTTTTGCCTTTCTTTTTTGGTAATAGTTTTGTATGAATATGGTCTATTTCCTTTTTATTTCATGGACAGTGTCCACAAGTGCTCTCTTCTATAAGTTCGGTCCTCTTCTGTGTAATTTCTTTTATAGATGATGTTGGTGGTAGAGGCGAGGTGAGGAGAGTGGCCTGTGTTGTTTCTCTCATTTCTCTAGGATCCTTAATTTTCCCTTTTTATTTTCTTTTTTCGTTTACTGCCACACTGTTAAGGTTTATCACTTTTTTTTAAATGTATTTCATTTTCCTCCAAAAGCAGTGCTTCTCTCAGGTTGCCACTTCTGGTCATGCTCACTTTTGATCTTTCCCTGGGAACTGCCAAGTCTCAACCTATGTTCCTCAACATTGGGTGTGACTTTGTATGTGCTTCATCTAAGTCCTCTGTACCTCTCTGTTTTCTTTCATGGAATTTCTTAAGCTCCTCTCTCATCTGCATTTGTAGGCTTCAAACGATAGGCAATAGGAACTCTAATGGAACAAGTTGTTTGAAGGCCGCGGCATTTATTTTTCATCTCTCAGTAATGCTGCAGACATGAATCGTGTGGTTTTATTGCTCTCCTTGTTTATGTTTTGGAGAAGGAGGTTTTGGGGAAGATTCAAAATCAGGCCACTGTCATCATCCTATATCAGGATTCATATATGTTGCATCATTTTTGTTTGTTTGTTTGCAGGAACCCTGAAAGGAAAAATAAATAGTAAATAATAATAAAAGTAAAAGTAAATAATTTTAATTGCAGTGGAACATCAAATAGATGTAAATACTGTAAACATTTCTTAACTATATAAGTATTATTATAATGATTTTTAGAAGTGTGTTTAAGCAGAAAAATGTCATTACTCAAGCATTCTAGGTGTTGCATAGTGGGCTGTTTTTTTTTTTTTTGCATTCTTCACAGTCTGTTCTCCATTAGTACACAATTTTAAAAACTATTATTTAAAAATTAGATGTTTCAAAGCATATTTGTTTCAAAATTTTGTCAGTTTTGAAGGCTCATTTTTGTTGTGATTAAGTATTCAGATTTTTATTTATTTCGGTTGACAAATGGTTTTTGGTTTATTTGGTTTCTATTAATGGTAGTTAAGGTTTAAGTATTGGGGAGCATTTATTATTTGAGTCATCTTCATCCTTCTTGCTTTGTAATATGTTTGAAATCAAGACAAACTCATTTTTCATTTATCAGATGCATACTTCTACTGGAGGGGGATTTTGTGACTGTGGAGACACAGAGGCATGGAAAACTGGCCCTTTTTGTGTAAGTCATGAACCTGGAAGAGCAGGTACTACAAAAGAGGTAAGAATACTATTTTTAAAAATTGCTAATTATTTTAAGCTTGATGAAATTAGATAGAAAGAAATGTTATGTGTATGGGTTAAACTCAATTCCATTAAGAAGCCTGCTTTTTATGTTCCAGTATTTAAATGTAAGGAGTTTTATTCCACTCTGTATTCTTTGTCTAAAGAGTGAATTTATGCTACTTGTTAAGCAATTTGGTAAGTAAGAGTAAACGATATATAAGGCTAGAAGAGCAAATGGAACAGTAGAACTGATATGTAACTTCAGTAATTCCTTTTCATAAAGAAAAAATAGTCAATAAATTGATTATCTGCTGTATATCCTAATCAAGAAAAGTGAGTAAGCCAGATAAAGGCTATTAGGAAGGAGAATGAGGAAAAAACAAAAACCCACAGATACAGAAGAAATTAAAAGGGTATAAAAGACTCTTTGATAAGACTATACATGGAGAAAATTTGAACAGTTAATAACCAAGGAAGAAATTTGGAATGTTGTTACAAGAAAGTACTTCCTAATAAGTACTTCCTATGTTCAAATGGTTTCACAGAGTAACCCTTTTCAGAACTGTAAGAAATAAATAGTTTTTGTACTCTTTAAACTGTTCCAAATAATCCTCTAGCATTGAATACCCCTAGGGCCCAGATTTTGATCTCTTTAAGTACTATTACCCATTTAGCCCATCCCCCTGCTCCAAGCAACCCTCAGTTTATTCTCTATAGTTAAGAGTCTCTTTTGGTTTGTCTCCCTCTCTTTTTTTTCCTTTCCCTTATGTTCATCTGTTTTGTTTCTTAAATTCCACATATGAGTGAAATCATAAAAATATGGAACACTTCACCAATTTGTGCGTCATCCTTACACAGGGGCCATGCTAATCTTCTCTTTATTGTTTCAATTTTGGCATATGTGCTGCCAAGTGAGCTGATTTTTAGAATGTTAACCTATGTACTTTATTTTACATCCTGTGAGGAGGCTCATTATGCCATGTCACCCCACTATTAGCAATGATGCTAATACTGATGGCCAGTTTCAGGAGATGACAATATGATATATCCATTACAAAGTTTCACTTTTCTTCTGTATGGCTAGCAAGTGATCTGTGACATGACAATTTAGAACTATGTGAATACTGTTCTTCATCAACTCATGTCTCAATAGATTTAGCATCCATTAATGAACCTTGCCTGAATCAAGTATTTCCTCCAGGTTTGCAAAATGTTGATTATTCTAATTCTATTATCCCCTCTCTACTAGCTAGCTAGCGATCACCTAGAAAGAAGAGCTCTATCTCATAAACTGGAAACACTTGTTTACCATGAAATACAATTCCTATTGAAGAGGTAGAATAGGGCCTCCTGAGTGGCTCAGCTTGGTTAAGCGTCCAACTCTCAATTTCGGCTCAGGTCCTGATCTCAGGGTCGTGGGGCAGAGCCCCGCATAGGGCTCCAAGTTCAGAGCCAGTTCAGGACGTGGTCTGCTTCAAATTCTCTCGCTCCCTCTGCCCCTCCCCCCACTCCTACTCTCACACATGCTTTCTCCCTCTCTAAAATAAATAAAATCTTTAAAAAAAAAAGGGTAGAATATATGCTTAGTTCATTCTCTTTAATTACCAGTTTTTAGAGTGAGAAATTAATATAATAACCATTGCCATGGCAACGAACCACTGCCATGGCAAAATTATTTAAGTTCTCTGCAAGTTTTATTAGGCACTCATGAATTTTCATATATAATACAAGAAAAAATAGATAATTGGACTTCATCAAAGGACACTGTCAAGAAAATGAAAAGTATACAGAATGGGAGAAATATGTTTGCAAATCATATTTTCTGATAAGGGACTTGTATCTAGAGCTTATAAAGAGCTCTTAAGGGGCACCCGGGTGGCTCAGTCATTAAGTGTCTGCCTTTGGCTCAGGTCATGATCCCAGGGTCCTGAGATCGAGCCCCGCATCAGGCTCCCCGCTCCAAGGGAAGCCTGCTTCTCCCTCTCCCACTCCCCCTGCTTATGTTCCCTCTCTCACTGTGTCTCTCTCTGTAAAATAAATAAATAAAATCTTGAAAAAAAAAAAGAGCTCTTAAAACTCCATAGTAAAAAGACAACCCAATTTTTAAAACAAGCAAATAGTCATTTCTTCATAAATAGTCATTTCTGGGGTGCCTGGGTGGCTCAGTCGGTTAAGCATCTGCCTTTGGCTAGGGTCATGATCTTGGGGTCCTGGGATGGAGCTCCGTGTCAGGCTTCCTGCTCAGTGGGGAGCCTGCTTCTCCCTTTCCCTCTGCCTGCCGCTCTGCCTACTTGTGCTCTTTCTGTCTTTGTCAAATAAATAAATAAAATCTTTAAAAATAAATAAAAGTTTTCATCAAATTAGGAATAGAAACAGTGAAACATGCAGAATACAAAATGGGCAAAAGACTTTAATAGACATTTCTCCAAAGAAGACATACAAATAGCCAATAGGCAAATGAGAAGATGCTCAACATCACTTAAGGAATCATTAAGGAAATACACATCAAAACCACAGTGAGGGCACCTGGGTGGCTCAGTCGGTTAGGCATCTGCCTTCAGCTCGGGTCATGATCCCAGGGTCCTGGGATCAACCCCACATTGGGCTCCCTGCTTGGCGGGGAGCCTGTTTCTCCCTCTCCCCCTGCCTGACACTCCCCCTGCTTATGCTCCCACTCCCTCTCTCTCTCTCTCTGTCAAATAAATAAATAAATAAAATCTTTAATAAATAAATAAATAAAATTTTAAAAAGGAAAAAAATGAAGTCATTTCTTCAAAGAGCGTATACACACACACACACACACACACACACACAACACACACAGCCAATAAGCACATGAGAAGATGCTTAGCATCATTGCTCATTAGGGAAATGCATACCAAAATCATGACATTCTTTTTCCTACCCACTAATGGCTATAATCAACAAGGCAAATAATAACAAGTGTTAGTGAGAATGTGACAAAGTTGGAGCCCTCATAAGCTGTTGGTAGAAATGTAGAATAGTGCAGCCACTTTGGAGAATAGTCTAGCAGTTCTTCAAATGATTAAATGTAGAGTTATCATACACCTCAGCAACTCCACTTCAGGTATATACTCAAAATAATTAAAAACAGTTGTTCAAGCAAATATTTAGACCTGAATGTTCATGGTAGCGTTATTCATAATAGTATTGTTATAACAGTTATTATAGAATAATGTATTACTCATAATAAAAAGTAGAAACAGCTCAATGTCTATCAACTGATAAATGGATAAACGATGTGGGTAAATCGATACAACGCATTATTTGTCTATATATATGTAAAGTAGTGAAACATGCTTCAGTTTGGAGGAGCCCTGAAAACATGCTAAGTGAAAGAAGCCAGTTACAAAAAAATCTCATTATATGATTACGTTTAAGTGAAATGTCTGGAATAGGCAGATTTATAGGGACAGAAAATAGGTTTGTGGTTCTTTAGGTCTAGGGGGATGGAAGCGTGGGGTGGGAGAAGAAGAAATCACTAAAGAGTTCTTTTGTTTTTTGAGGTGATGAAACTGGTCTAAAACTAATGTGATAGTTACAAATATCTGTATATACACTAAAAACCATTAAATAGTATCTTTTGAGTGAATTGTATAGTATGTGAATTATATCTCAAGCTGTTAAAAAATTGAAGTACCTAGAGCCTCACTTAGAAAATATTCTTTTTTTTTTTTTTTAAGGATTGATTTGAGAGAGAGATTATGCGGGCACATGTCAGGTATGGAACAGAGGGAGAGGGAGAGGGAGAGAGAATCTCAAGCAGACTCCCCGTGGAGCATGGAGCCTTTCACCCATGAAATCATGATCTCAGCTGAAATCATGAGTCCGATGCTTAACTAACTGAGCCACCTGGCCCCACTTATGAAATATTGTTGATAAAAGTGTTTAGCCTGGCGGCGCCTGGGTGGTTCAGTCGGTTATGGGATCGAGCCCCGCATCGGGCTCCCTGCTCTGCAGGAAGCCTGCTATCCCTCTGCCTCTGCCTCTCTCTCTCTCTGTCTCTCATGAATAAATAAATAAAATCTTTAAAAAAAATAGTTTTTAGCCTGAACTTAATAAAACCTTGAGGTTTAACTTTTAGGAAATACAGGGGAAGCATGAACATGATAAAGAAGACCACAAGGAAGATAAATATAAATTAATGTATGACATTTCAAGGCAAATCTAGAATATAGGAGTTTTTATAGGAAGTATGGCCTGGTTTCTGTCATGAAGAACAAAAGCTGGAAGTGGGGATGGGAGATTCATTTAGATGTAAGTGATCTAGACATAATAACCAAATGCAGTAGATATTTTGGGAAGAATTAAGGAAATTGAATATGATTAAGACATTAGATGATATTTAAAAATTATTAATGTTACTAGATAAAATAATGGTATTATAAGTATATAAGAAAAAAATTTTTAGAGATACATATTAAGTATTTAGGGGTAAAATATAATTAATTTTTACCTTAAAATACTTGAACAAAAAATACATATATGGAAAAATAACAGTTATTGAATTTAGGCAAAAGTGTGTTTATTATACTGATCTTCCTGTTTTTCTGTATTTAAAAAATTTTACTGATTAAAAATAAAAATCAGGGATAGCTGGGTGGCTCAGTTGGTTAAACATCTGGCTTCAGCTCAGGTCATGATCCCAGGGTCCTGGAATCAAGTTCCACATTGGGCTCCTTGCTTGGCTGGGAGCCTGCTTCTCCCTCTGCCTGCTACTCCCCCTGCTGTGCTTGCTCTCTCTCTCTCTCTCTCTCTCTCTCTGACAAATCAGTAAAAATCTTGAAAAAAAAGATAAAAATCACTCAATTAAACACCAAATAAATAACAAAAACATAGAAACTGTCCTTAAGCATAGAAGGGGGAAAAGAGAAAGTTTCCAAATTTGTTACATAAAGCCAACATTATATTGACCTCATATCTGACAAAATAGAGAATTTACAGATCAGTTTTATTAATAATTGTTATGCTGAA